GTTGTTATTCGTACGGCGAGTTCAGAGTTCAGACAGTCAGCCACGATCCACGGAAGGTGGAAATGGAGAATGTATCTGGCCACGTTCTACTGCAATGAAGAAGATACACTTTGCATTTTCGCGGTTGGCGATCGGTGGAACGAGGCACTTAGGGCGACTCGGCGAGTGCAGGAGAAGACTAGTATGTGAGATGCAAACGAGCACGAGCTTTCCTGTCTTCGTTTTTGCTCCCCATGTTCTGGTTTATCGATCGTCCTGTACGGTTTGTCGCTTATCGACGTAGGGTACTCTACGATATCTGCTGACCTAGGAATGCCGTTTGTTTTTGGAGAGAGAAAGAGAGAGAGACACAGAGAGAGAGAGAGAGAGAGAGAGAGAGAGAGAGAGAGAGAGAGAGAAGCTGGCGGCCGTCGGCCGAGGTGAACGATGAACACACCGTCGTTTCCAATGGTCAGCAGTTTCGACAAGCTTGAGAGAGAGAGAGAGAGAGAGAGAAGCTGGCGGTCGAGGTGAACGATGAACACCGTCGTTTCCAATGGTCAGCAGTTTCGACAAGCTTGAGAGAGAGAGAGAGAGAGAGAGAGAGAGGAGGGTCCTGGAGGGAAGGTGGCGAGCGAGGAGAATGATGACACACCGTCGATTCCAGTGGTCAGCAGTTTCGGCACACGATGCATAGCCGGAGGAGTCGTGCGAGAGCTAACCAGAGCAGCATAGTACTCGAGCTACAAGTGGGACTTCCTTGTCTGAACGTACCTGTCAATTACTATCAAATGCATTCATGAATGCGTTCGTTGTGAGTGTGACATTGTCCCTTTATAAGTTGCTTAACCGCGGTGTGAATCTCTCTGAACGAATACCCTCCAGAGTCCAGGCCCGTGGTCCAGGGTGCTGACGAAAAGGCGGGGTGGCAATTTTAGCCTTTTAGGTTCTCAATGACATTCACCTGCAGGTGGGTTCGCTGAGCCTTTAGTCCCGGAGAAAGAGAACCAAAGGGTAGTCTGTGGCTATAGAATGCGACTCGGTGGCAAACATGGGTTCCCTAATCTTCTAGTACATGATGAGACAATCAATTATGGGTTCCCTAATCTTCTAGTACATGATGAGACAATCATACCCTCATAGGTAATCAGGGGTTCCCTAAGTATGTTGGCAATACTTCATATGACGATGTGGCGATGATGGGATTCATGGGTTCCCTAAGCGTGTAGTTGATGAGCACATAGTACGTACTATGTTGTTCTGAGTCTTATGACTATGTGGCAAGCAATGCCAAGCATGAATTCCCTAAGCGTGCTCGTCCATGACTATTGATTTGACTGTGTTCCAATGCCGGGTTTGCTTACCCTGCAGATCGGGGGAACATGTAGTACCGTACTAGTGCGCACTCCGTTAATTTTGACACGGCACATACAACCACGGTGTTTGTACGACCATGTGAAAGTCATGATTCATGGCTTCCCGTCAGCCTTCAGTCCATGAGAAGATGGTATGTACTCGGTTGATTGATATATTACAGTATGCGGCAAACATGTATTCTGTTGGGTGACTAGTCTTGCCGTTCTTTTCTGTAGTCAGAGGTTATAATTAGTGCGAGTTATGGGGAAAGCTGGAAACGTGTTGCCGTTTTCTTTCTGTGGCAAACACCATATTAACAGAAGTAGTTGGGACTAGTCCGATTAGATGGTTCACTACGTTGTTCGATGCGACAGGATGTCTCGGGGCACATGACGAGGGCGGTTTACCAGTGGGGAAGGATAGGAAGAACATGTCCAGAGATTGTCGGGGCAGTTGTACAAGATGGAGGCGGGAGAGAGTTTACGCATTTTCCAGCGCAAGGTTGGAGCAGCGGAGGCAGGTCACGTGCGGGCTGCACACGGAAACTGAAGGAACATGTAAGATGCCGTTCTCCACACACACACACTCACACACACAGAGAGAGAGAGAGAGAGGAAAGAACGTACGAGCTGCGGGTCCATGAAATCGAGGGCCGGAGAAAAGGTAGAATCGTAGATCTATGGGCAGACGGAAGGTGGACTGCTGGGATAACGAAGTCGTCAGTACCACGCAGGGGGGAGAGAGAGAGAGAGAGAGAGAGAGGAGGAAGAAACATAAAGTCGAATTGCAGTATAATGGGTCCGGACGGTGACTTCGAGTTCAAAATTGACTGAGGCAACGATCATTGGGAGAGAGAGAGAGAGAGAGAGAGAGAGAGAGAGAGAGAGAGAGAGAGGAGTTCATTGGGTGTGTGAGAGAGATGGCGGGCAACGATCGCCTATCGGCAGCAAATCGAATCACGGGGTGGTTTTGATTATTGTGCTAGAAGCAGTCTTGATGACGTTGATTGGAGTAGGGTGTTATATTCTCTTCTGTTCGATAATTGCGGCTTTTCCGCTCAGGGGTTTGCCGTCCTTGTACTGGAGGGCATTGGTGGCTCTAATAATGAAGAAGGGGACACAGCGGGTT